AGTCCCCACTGGACTTTTCCTAATTCCTTCACTCCCTTCCCTTTGTTCACCAAGCTCAGTGACCACATGACTTTCCCCTCATTTTCCTTCTTCCCTCCCCTTCCCCCTTTGGGCTTTTGTACACATCTTACTAGTAATCCTTCTATTTTCACAGTAATAATCTTATGCAGTATTTGTCCTTATGTTGACCACTCAACATAATGCTCCCCAGCATCTCCTATATTTTTCAAAATCATTGTTCCTGAGTGCTGCAGAGTGTTCCATGGTGTGAATGTACCACAATTTCTCAATCCATTTGTTTGCGGATGGACATTTGTGCTGTTTCCATATTCCTGCTATTGTGGATAACCCTGCTATGAACATTGGTTTACAAATCTCCATTTGTGTCTCACTTCTATTTTCTTTTCATTATATTCCTAGCAGCTAAATAGCTGAGTCATAAGGAATTTCTATATTAAGCTTTTTGAGGAAACATCAAACTGCCTTCCTGAGTGATTCTATCATTTTACAGTCACACCAACAGTGTATGAGTTTCAATCTCCCCACATCCACTCCAACATTTATTACTTGCTGTCCTGTTGACCTTTGCCATTACTACTGGGGTATGATTATTTCTCCTTGTGGTTTTGATTTGCATCTCTCTTATCGCTAGTGATTTTGAGCATTTCTTCATATGTCTTCTCAAGATGATAGAGAGACAGAGAGAATGAATTTTTATTTAGAATTAGCCAGCTAGACTCAGTTTAAATGATCCCTATTTGTGCTGACCTTGACCACATCAATGTCATAAAGCTTCATTACAGCTTGTTTGATTAGTGCTTGTTGGCCTTAACATCTACAATCAACACAAGTGTGTTATCTTCTTCATGGCTTAGTGATTAGGGGAAACTTGATAATGGCATAGTGGTCTTCTTTTAGGGGTATTTGGGCTGCCTTCGGAGACTTAAGCCACTGGAAGGAGGGTGATGTGCAGATATTCTTTTTGTGTGTGGTTGTGGATGCCCTTCAGGACTGCTGTCTTGGCCTTTAACGCCTTTGCTTTGGCTTCAGTTTTGGGAGGGGCAGACTTCCTTCTTAGCTTTCAGCACCATCTTCATAGAAAAGCCAAACCTGTGTTTTTTTTTTTTATTAATGTGGGTTATATCCAAGGTTCTATTTTGGTTCTTGTGGATTTTAGTCTTATTCTGTTTCAATTTGAACTTACATGAGTACTTGGTGATCTGTTCCAGTCAGCACCAGACCTTGTTTCTGACTCTCTTTGCACAGACGTAGTCAATCTGATTCCTGTGCATTCCATCAGGTGAGGTCCATGTACAAAGTCACTTTTTGGGTTTCTTTTAAAATATATAAGTAATTGAATGTACAAAATTCAATCATCTCCTCACCAGCTTCATTTCTGTCTTTCCAACTACCATTCATTTCTTGTTTTCAACTTTTGCATTTTGGTCACCAATAATTACAAATGCATCTTGACTGCATGTTTGATCAATTTTAGACTGCAAAAATTGGTAAAAAGCCTCCACTTCCTTTTAGTTGCCGGTGCATATATTTGAGTAACAGTCATGTTAACAGGTCTTACTGTGGATAGTATCTTGTCACGCACAACAATGTACATTGCTAGACCTTGAAATTTCAACACCATTCTTCCTGAGTTTTTCCATTCCCAACATAGCAGATCATGTCTGATTAAAAGTAGCCCATGCCAGTCCATTTCATAATGCTAGTATGTTGATCTTCATGTGTTCCATTTCATTTTTGACAACTTTCAGTTTTCCTACATTCTAATTTTTTGAAGCTGTTTCTCTTCATATCTGAATGACTTTCCATATGAGCTCTAATATTATAGCTTTCTGTTGTTCATAGGGTTTTCAAAGGCCTGTTATTTCAGAAGTCCTTCTTCCTAGATTGTTATGAAGTTTGTTGGTTTTTTGTTTTTGTTTTTTCTGAGAGGCTGTCTGTTCTGCTATCCTATCACCACCCTAGAAAATTATTTCAGAGCACAAATTTTCCCCAAGATACAGAATATAAATCTCACTACTAGGGGGCTGCATATATGTAGAAAAATATCCAGGAAATTCCTCTTGTGCTTTTCCTGGTTCAAAAAGTCTGTGATGACTTTGGACTCAATCCAAAGGTTATTATTCAGAGGCTATTGTTCCTGAACGGACTTGTGTGGCACAGTACAGCACTAGCACAGTAAGACTAGAACATACCCCTATTAGAGACAGAATTCAGTGGAGAAAAAGGATTTACCTTGATGCTTAGAAATGTATAGTTCCAAATATGAGACATCTAACCCCAATAATAGTAAAGTTCAACAGAGCAGCAAGCACCAAATGCTGGCAAGGTTGTGGAGAAACTGGAACCCTTATTCACTGGTGGGCATGTAAAACGGTGCAACCACTATGGAAGGCAATATGGCACTTTCTCAAAAAGTTGGAAATACCATTTGACCCAGCAATTGCACTGGAAATATACCCTAAAGAAATCAGAACTGTCACGAGAAGAGATATATGCATATCCATGTTTATTGCTGCTTTGTTCACAATAGCAAAGAAATGGAAGCAACCCAAGTGCCCATCAACAAATGAATGGATAGAGAAGCTGTGGTATATTCACATAATGGAATACTGTGCAGCACTGAAGAACAAGGAACTGGTAAAATATACAAAAGGGGTGACCCTGGAGGACATTTTGCTCAAGAAAAAAGGGGATAATGAATACATTAACAGTTAAGAGAAAGGACTGTCTAAAAGAAATATATGATTAGGTATTATTTTCATGACAATAGTAGGTAGTACATAGCAAAGTGGACTAGGAGGCAGTGGGGATGGGGGAGGAAATTGTGCAACAATGAGAATCTTTAAAGAGAAAAGCAAACTAGGGGATAGGGAGGAAAATGTGCAACAATGAACGAATGTAAATCCAAGTTCTTGCAAACTTGTTAAAACATAAAAAGGCTTTACTAAAAAAAAAAAAGTATAGTTTGCTTCCAGCAACAGGACAAGAGACTGGTTTTAGTTTAAAATTTCCTTTGGAAAATGCTCCGTAACTACTCCTCACCTTAAGTGTATTATGGACGATTGGGACACCAGAATGATGGCAATCTGGATACCATAAGAGAACATAAACATACCGTTAGTCTTCCATGTTTATAGCTCTGACTTTCCATGTACTGTTAAAAAAATTACATAAAACTTTTCCTGCTTGATTTTCCATGCTAATCCAAATCTGATCACCCATTCTTAACAAGGTCAGGATTACTCACTCACCAGGAAGGTGACATCTTTGTAGAAGTAGAAACATGGAGTTGGTAGAATGTTGAGTATATTTTAGTCTGGAGGTTTTTAGCGGCCTAGAAGGGCTGTTTCTATCTTTAGCTTAGGAGATGTATACCTAACATGGGAACAGGAGCTGGAACTAGTCTTTCCAAACAAAAGTGAGCAGAGCTTAGGGAAAGAGGACAGAACAGGGCTTAACATTTGGGTGTGGACAGCTAACCACTGCTCAGGTTTAGATTCACCATACCAATCCCAAGGCACTGATTTCACCAGCCCATTTGCTTTGCTTCCATTTTCACTGATGTGTAGTCTTAATGACAGTGACCCTTGATAACCATTTTCAGTTATAGTATGCATCTAATTCCTATCACCTTCCCAGTTAGATAGTTAGGTGCAGTCAAGGACAACTCATAGCAACCCTATAAACAGATGTGAACCTTGTCCTATCCTGTGCCATCCTCATCAACTTTGACACACTTGAGCTAGTTGAGTCTTCTTTCACCAACCCTCCATATTTCCAAGCATCTCTCTCACAAGGAATATGCCCAAAGTATGAGATGAAACTTTGCCATCCTTGCCTCCAAGACATTTGTTTCTTGTTTTGACAGTCCACGGGATATTCACACTTCTCCAACATCACAATTTAAAGGCATCAATTCTTGTTACCCTTATTCACTGTTTGCCTTTCAGATGCATAGCAAAATGATTTAAAAGACCATAGCCTGAATCAGGTGGACCTTAGTCTTGATTTGGATTTACCTGGTTTCAGTAAACTGAAGATCTCCCTGACAATAGACTTCCCCAAAGGAATGTCTCCTGATTGCTGCTGGTACCAAGGATGTTGATTGTGGATCCAAGTAAGATGAAATTGTTGACAACTTCAATCTTTTCTCCTTTAATCAAGGGCAAATGACAGTACACTCACCCCTACAGACCATAATCTATACAAAGAAAACTACAGAACATTTCTGTAAGACACAGTAAGAGACCTAAACAAATGGAAAAAAAATGTTTCCTGTTCATGGATTTGGGGGCGGGGGGTTTAGGGAAGAACAAAGAAGTCCTCTTCTAAAACAGAATTATCCTCTGCCCTCTTACCCTTCAAAAAAAAACCCACCAAAACAACACAATCCACAAAGAAAAAAAAAGTCTTAAAATGTATTTTAATAAGTTGATGTTACATTACTGTTCCACTTCTCAGGAAAATGTCCAATCTGATGTATCAGGGATAAATCAAACATGGTACGCCAATTAAAAAAAAACGGCATGGCATAGCTACCTCAGATAGACAAGATTATGAGCTACTGTCAGTCCTTCAACATATAGCAACCCTGTTCCCAAGACTGTACTAGGCCTATAAAGAAAAGTTGTGAATAGTAACATTGAACAAATAGTAACATCAAACACAAAAAGGGCAACTTCCGGGTTGTTCTTATCTAAGATAACACAAGATTTTTATTTTAAAAAAAGATACACTAAAAGCAAAATCTATAAGAGAAAATGCCTCTTAGGACACAATGGGGTAATATATGGAATAATACATGGGATATAACAGAACAGTATGTCTGTGACCTCTGTGGACTTTGGCCTGAATTCTGACTAGGAATGGCACGATGGAGGCTAAGTTCATCAGGGGTATTCATTTTTTGAGGTCTATGTGACAGTCTTTGTGGTATTCGTGGGGGTTTATAAAGAATAGAAAGCAAATGGGTAAAGAATGGAATGATCAAGATTAATATGACTCTAATTGGATACATTTTTACCATGGCTCCCCCAGGTCAACATCCATTTTATTTGAGGCTTCAAGAATCTATCACAAGGAACTGCTATCACACAGAAAAGATTTGTTAATACCACCCTTTTCCCTTGCCCTCTGAATTCAGTACACTCCCCAAAGTAGTAAAGGCAGGAAAGACCTAACTACTGGGAGAATTCCTAACACACTTCTAGAGCAGAATTCTGGCTAGTCCAAAAAGGGTCCTTCGTCCTTCTTTCACGGGTTTTGGGAAATCAGACAGTAAATTTATTAGTATCGGCGACGTTTGTTTGGAGCAAATTCAGCTCCAGGAGCTGTACGATTGAAAGCAGGAGGGGTTCCACCAATTGCCCCAATTCCTTCCATTGTAGCAGCTTGACCAAATCGTTCAGTTGTTGGTGGAGTCTTAAAAAGAAGACAAGAAAGTTACAACAGATTCTTTTCTGTAAACTTAATAACCCCTCCCCTGAAGGCTACTAAAACTTAAATTGGAACTTTTCACTATTTTAATTCTTCAGTGAGTTTCGTATATTCAGTAAGGCTCCTGAGTGACCAAGTGTCTGTTTAGAATAAAATTAGTGGATTATCCTGAAAAGATTGCCTGAATTATGATCCTACTTTTACCTGTTACCTGCATTCCTAGCAATTACACAGGTTGAAGAATTTTTTAAAAAACACACACAAAAACCCCCACACAACACAAACCAATATAATTTTGTAAGTCTTCATGAAAATAATAACAAAAAAAATTCTGCAAAGGCTATAGGAAAAAACCAAAACAAACCACTCACACACTTGAATTGTATATGTACAAATTATTAGGCGGGTTTATAGTCTACTATGTATATTCTCAATGAGAAAAAAAACCACAGGGCTATAGCATAGCATGTCTTTCAAGGCACATCTGGATATTTGAATGCCAATCTTTCAGTAGCTGAGTATATCAAGCATTAATTTATAACACCCAGGAACTTGGGATAAGTTATAGCCTAGTTCTTTTTTCTAAGTATGTAAACCTGGACATGGGCAAGCTATCATTCTTCAGCAACTTAAAGGGGGGGGGGAGATTAACCAAACAACCCCACCCACCCACCCAAATCCAAACTCAATGCCCTTGAGCTGATGTCAACTCAGTGATCCTAACAGGACAAGTTAGGATTGTCCCTTAGGGTTTCCAAAGCTTTCCAAAAGCAGAGTGCAATTATCTTTTCCTAGAGTAGCTGGTGGGCTCAAACTGACGACCTTACAATTAAAAGCATTTATCCAGTATTACCAGGGCTCTCCAATTTAACCTCTACAGGATTTTATTAGTCATATTATGTCTTTGAATCTACCATCTTCCTTGTTCCTAATGGTGGTACTATTGTTGTTGTAGACCATAGAGTCAGAATTGACACACAGCTGACCCTCTGGCAGGTTTTCAGAGGCAGTTAATCGCACGGGAAGAGACTGACCAACTTTCTCCCATGGAGCAGCTGGTGGATTTGAACTGTGTGCCTTCGCGATTGCAGTGCAGCTTCTCGCTACTAGGCCACCCAAGCTCCCTGGTGGTATCATAGTCCTATTTTTATAATTACTTTCACTAACTTCCCGTCAAAAAAAGAAATTTTATCAGGGTAGTATATATATAAACAGTCAAGTAGGCAGTCATTTATTAAACTTATAGACAAACTATATACCTTTAGACTAGAGTTCCTTAAGATCACATTTAATGGATACTACTAGTCCTAAAGATTAATAGTCATAACTAAATCCAGATAGCTCACTACAAGGGGGCTGTGAAGGCAAAGTCTTTTGCTTTCCTACTACCAGTAAGATCCTGAATTTTATTACCAATCCCAAAGTTCCATCTGGCATCATAGTGGCAGGTCCTGGAGGAGCTGGAGTACCAGCTGGCACAGGAGCAGGGGGCATGGCACCTCTGTTGTTTATGCCCAAAGCACCTAAAGCAGAGTAATGTAATCAGTACAATGCAAGGAGATAGTGAAATATTTCATGACATCTCTAAAAATGGTATTCCCAGAAATATCAGTACCAGAAATGTGGACTAGATAAGATATATATAGTTACCAGAGACAACGCAAAAACCAGTCTTTAACCTCCTCCTAAGTCCTTACCTCCCATAGCCATCTGGCCCATCCTTATCTCTTGTTCCCTCTGAAAAACAAAAAATTATACACAATAATCCATGATAATAGTCCATTCTACCACAATCTTAGGAGAACTACATATTAAGAGAGTAGATGGAATGTTAATAGTGAGATAAAGTTGAAGAACACTAACAGCTCCTTGCTAGTGATGGAGTTAAGCTCAAAATCACAGAAATGATAACCAGTCTCTATAGCTGACCCTCCAGCATGTTTTCAGAGACTGTAAATCACACAAAAGGAACCAGCCCATTTTTGGAGCTGATGGTGGATTTGAACTGGATGAGGTTGACTCAATATATCTCATCCTACAATTATTAAATTCAAATAGCAGTAGGCCTTGATTTCCATGCTAAATTGTCCAGGCAAGATGAGCACTTCTTTAAATTTCCCTCCCTATAAAATGTTTCTAAAGAATATGGAAAATTTGGCCCTATATATTTTGTAGTACTTAGTGGACAATTCATAGTGAGTTCTGTCATATCACAATACATGATGGACACATGGGAGATATACCGCATCAGGGAAGGTTCCCTTGAATCCTTCCTGCTGTCTCCGCATCATTTCTTCCTGTTGCCGCCGCATCTCTTCCTCCCGGCGCCTGCGCTCCTCCTCTTGCCTACAGAGAATCATCAAAGCCTTTAAAGTAACAGAACTCCAGAACTTAAGCAGGTTACCAAGGAGATCAAGAGCTTCTCTAGGAACTGTGCCCAACTTTAAAGTAACCCACGTGTCCAACATCAATAAAAAGTTCTGCTCCAAAGGAGCCTCAAGAGATCAATACTCAGCAGTTCCTCTGAGGTACAGCTCAAGATAATCCTCAGAACCATAGGCAGCTAGCTAGAAAATCCATCCATTCAAAGTGACAACCTGAGAATTCAGTAAGTACCATACCAGGTAACATGGTGATAGAAAGCAACATTAAGATACTTCCTTTTAGAGTCATCAGGAAAACAGCCTTTAAGAAAGTTACCGGAGTTCCAACTGCTTTCTTTTTTGCACCTCTTGGTTGTGCAGCTCTTCCATTCGCCGAAGTTCTTCTTGGCGCCTCATCAAATCTAGGAAAAAAGCAACTAAATGATTCAGAGTGTTCTTTATTCTCTTCATAAAGACCTAGCAATTCTCTACAGATCCAGAAAGCAAAGGAATAGCATCCCTGAGTGGCTGTCTATGGTATCCAGACTCCAAAAATAATGTCAAATCCTTCTCCACAGAATCTAGTATTCTGTGCCACATCGCCAAGCACAATTGTCTACCAAGATCAATATTCCAGAAAACAAAAGTAGAAATTTAGGCCTTTCTCTATTAATTAAAAGAAATAACCTCTTAAAAACTGTCACTTTGGAGAGCTCTGGTGGCCTAGTGGCAAGAAGGTGCACTACAATCCCAGGGTACACAGTTCAAATCCACCAGATGCTCTGCTGGAGAAAGAGGAACAATCTCCTCCTGTACCAGTCAGATCTGACGGTACACACATAAAAATAATAAAATTTAAAAAACAAAAACTGTCATTTTGTTCTTTAATAGTTTTAAGACTTTACAGACCTATACTCACCCTGCCTCATTAGCATAACCTGGTGCTCATGGCGAGCAGCCTCCATCTCCATCTCCAGCTTCTCTCGCGCTTCCTTGATGTTGCGGTCCACTTGATCCTGCTGCTGCTTCTCCATTTCAATGAGTGCCTTCCAACGCATGGCATACTCATACTCAAAGGAGCCAGGCTGTGCAAATCTGGGTGGCTGCTCTCGCTCTCTATAGACAAAGGTCCTGAGTCACCAACTCTTAAGATTCTTCCCAAAAAAGGACTGTATTCTATTTGATGTAACTGTTATATACCATTATGTTGGAATTAATTCCTAGCTGGCCCTTCAGTGGATTTTCAGAGACTTTCTCGCATGGGAAGAGTCACCCATGTTTCTCCCTCAGAGAGGCTGGTGCATGCATGCCTTTGGGTTGGCAGCACAAATAGGCCATCAGAACTCTTATCTATCTTGCCTCTCTGCACATCCCTTTACAGACTTCCTTAATATTATGCAAATGGAGGGAGAGGTGGGCAGGGAGAAAAGCGCAACAATGAATGAACAGAAATCCAAAGTCTCTGTAAATTTTCATGAAAATGAATAATAAAATTTTTTTAAAAGATTAGGCAAATATACAACAGAGAATATGTCAGAACACATACTTGTGAAATTGCTGGTTTTTTATAACCAGCTTCTCTGGAAGCCCCTCTTCATCATCTAACTGGTCCATGGGCTCCACAGTCACAGGTCGAGGAAATCTGGAAGAATAAGCAGGATTAATCAAATCCCTATTAGACTTCCCTCTCCACACGACATTATCACAAACTATCTAAGTCATCAGGCCTGGGAAAAACACATACTTCTGAAAAAGTTCTTATATCCATGGAACCAAGCCCAATTAATGGCATGGAGCATCTGGAATTGATAAAGTCAGGCTTCAGAGCTATAAATATAGCCTCAAAAAGATTACAGGATAATTCTTTGCCATCTGTAGTACTCTAGAAAATGACTTGACAAAAATACTAAGATGTATATATCAGCAAAGTTCTAAAGTGTTAAAGTAGATTCAATGCTAAGTAACAGCCTACTGAAAAACTGGACAAGGTCTATTTCTTAATCTATTTTCATTAAGATTATGTAGAGAATGCTCTTCGAAATTTAAAAAAAGATCACTTTAGGAATGTATTAGAAAATTGAATTATCATCATCAAAAACCTTCTTCCCCTCCCCCTAAGAGTCGTTAAATGAACATAGGAACATGGTTTCTAGAAGTGAACTACCCAGGGCACAACAAGGAAGACCTAAGATCCATTTCTGAAAATGACCCCTCTCTTACGTAGTTAACAGGAAGGAGCCTTCACTGCATCTGTCCAGAGCTTTTCGAGCAGCTGGCTTCCCTGAGAATTCAACAATGCCTTTTCCTGAAGGTCTTCCTCGATCATCCACAATGACTACAGCCCTCTCCACTTGACCAAACACAGAAAAGGCCTCCTCCAGCAGTTCGTTGGACACATACTGAGGAAGGTTTCGAACTGTGAGAGATGCACTATGGCAGGCAAAGCGCACACGTAGCTGCTTTCCACGGAGTGGCATGTTGTCCAGTTCCACTTTGGCAATCTCTGCTAGGGTTCGTGTTTCCTGGTGAGCAGAGCAGTTAGAATGATTACATGAAAAAACCAGCATGATTTATAAACCTTCACTCAAAAAAAGGGGAATAGTTTATACATAAACTCAATCTCAGGAGTTAAGAGGGGAAGAGTAGGGAATAAAAATTACATGCTTCTTGTTTATAGAGACAGATAAGGTTTAAATGTCAAATCAAGACTCAAAATACTAAAATATTTATGATGGAAATAGGGACTGTCTAGGAAGAAGATAATCCCAAGTTGGTAACAGTTTAAGCTGAACACTGGATGGATATACTGTTAACAATACTATTCTACTTCTGTACGACTGAAATCTTCCAACTCAAACAAAGAGATCCAAAAGGCATACTTTAGCCTCATTATCATGGGCAAATAAACCCTTAAAATAAAGTCACAGGGAAAATTAAAACGGTGGGTTTTTTTACGGTTTAATCAACAAGCTTTTTTGAAACAAACCATGAGAATTAATATTTCCACTGTCTGTTCTGCCAAATGTATTATTCCAAGAAATTTTAATTTTTTATTAACATATAACCCAAAGCCCATAGTTACTCACCAAGCGGATAAAGCCAAAGCCCTTATCCTTATGAATAAAGACCTCGCCTGCTTTGCCATATTTCTCAAATAATTTCCTCATTTCTTCCTCAGTGATGTCAGGTGGAAGATTGCCCACAAAGAGACGGCTACGCTGGGTAAAGGTCTTTTCTCCTGGTTTCCTAAAATTCTTCAAGTCGATAGTCAAGCCTTCATCTGAGGAAAGATGCACAGTCACTTAAAAGACTGGGACAATTTTGTTATACAAAGACAGGAAAACTTTATTATACAAATTGCACAAAGTTGAAAGAGAAAAATTGAATGACATCCTCAAAAAGTTAAATAGCTAGATTAGGAAATTTAAGTGCTTTGGTAGCCTAGTGGGTAAGGAGTTGTGATGAGAACCCAAAGGTATGAATGCACAAGTTGCTCTGTGGAAGAAAAAGGCACAATCTCCTCTCATGCCATTTACAATCTCTGATAATCTACTGGACTCAGCTTTAAGTAGGTTCTGACTTAACGGCAATGAATTGAGTTTTGATTAGAGAAGATAATTTCTAAACGCAACCTATCCACTAAGCCCTTATAAATAAAAGTAGTAGTAGTTGTTATGTGCCGTCGAGTCGCCTGTGACTCATAGCGACCCTATGTACAACAGCCCTAAACCCTGCTCTATTATGTGCCAATCTTATTGTCTCCAACACACCTACCCCCATTACCCCAGTGACTAAATCAATTAATCTCACTGAAGGTCGTCCTCTCCTGCGCTGTCCCTCCACTCTCCCAAGCATGACATCCCTCTCCAAGGACTGGTCCCACCTTGCAACCTGTCAAAAGTATATAGAAATCTGGAGGCACTTATTAATAGTTCTAAGTACAGGACAGAGACAGAAAGACAAGTTCTTGGCTAAAGAGAAGACTAAGTGAAGGAGAGCCCAACAGAATAAGATTTTTAAATCTAAAATAAGGAACTCTGATGGAATAGTGTGTTGCACGTTATGTTGCTAACATTAAGGTCAGTGGTTCGAATCCTCAAAAAATGTACAGCCTCAGAACCCAATGGAGTAGGAATCAACTAGATGGCAGTTGAGTTTTTGGGTCTGGGGACATACTGGTAAGGAGTTACACAGCCAACTCAGACGTGGTTTGAATCCACTAGCTGCTCTGAAAATGGACAATTTTCTCCTGCTCACTCAAGCCCAACTTGACAACAAATAACAACAACAAAATATGACTGAAATGAGTCAAGTAAGAATATTTGGGTTATCTCTGGAAATACATAGGTTGAGATTGGTTCTAGTCTTAGTTATAAACACACAACAGATGCTCAAAGTTCAAAGTAACAAAGTACACTTAAAAAGAAAGAGTCCACATAATTAGCACTAGACTTTTCCATTAAATCTTAAACTTGTTCTATATTTTTTCTAACATTTTAATTATAATTTCATTTGTTCTTTTCACATACAATTTTGTAACATTACAAGAAATATAATTATGTCTGATCATATTGCATATATTGTCTTTCCGTCCACTAAAAACTTGTTCTATATTCTAACTACTAATCATCTAATGACACATTCTGAGGTAAAAACACGTAGACAGCTATTATTTAGCAGTAGAATGTGTCAATACAGCACAGGATTTATACACAACTGCTGTTTAACAATCAATTGCTTGGTTTCAAGAAATTGGCCTTTTTCATCATAAGGATATTAATGAACAAAACAACTACGGGATATCATCTTACCCCAGTAAGAATATCAAAATTTAATAGAACAACAAACATCAAATGCTGGTGACATGGAGAAACCGCAACCCTTATTCACTGTTGGCGAGAGTGTAAAAGGCTATATGGCGCTTTTTCAAAAAGTTTTAAATAGAAATATAATTTGACCCAGCAAAACAGGTAAATGCACACCCATGTTTATTGCAGCTTTGTTCGCAATAGCAAAGAGCTAGAAACAACCCAAGTACCCATCAACAAATAAATGGATAGAGAAGCTTTGGTATATTCACACAATGAAATACTATGCAGAACTGAAAAACAAGGAACTCATGAAATATTATGCAAAATGGATGACCCCAGAGGACATTATGCTGAGTGAAATATCTCAGTCACAAAAGGACAAATATTACATAGGGTCACTGTAAAGTACAACAATGAATGACTGGAAACCCTAAGTCTCTGTAAACTTTCATTAAAATTAGTAATTAAAAAAAGGTATTAATGAAGAGGTAAGTAGAGAAAAAAAGACCAAGGATGTAACAAAAAGGGCTACCACTTTACAATCCCAAAACTAAAAATCAAGGAACAATTCCCAAGAAGGAGTCTATTTTTATACCCTATTCACTAGCAGCTACTCACTTTGGCTGCTGGCCTGTTGCCCATTTGCAGGTACTGGTGGGGGTAGTGGCTGCTGCTGCTGCTGCTGCTGGTGGTGGTGCTGATGATGCTTCCTTGGAGTGTGGTTTTGCTTTTCCAGGTTGAAGGTTTTATTGCTTTGCATTTTTGATCCCTAAAAAAGGAGTGGACTGTAAAACAGGCTCAGTGTTAAGACTACACTAACACTTAGCTTCCTGATTATCTACCTATATCATTTATGTTAATATTCTGGTTTCTGCCAGATCCATACACTTGGTCACTTTAACCAAGTAAGGGCAAGAATACAATTAAGAATCACACGGATGACAATGACTTTTCGAAACTTAACAGTTCAGTAATTTTATACAATAAGAAAGTAATTTCCAAAGAGTTTGTTTACCCTCAAAAAACAGACTTATCACATATTATTAAAATAAGCACTGGTGGTATAGTTGTATTCAACTGGTAATCAAAAGGCTGGCAGTTCAAACCTACCAAGTAGGATTATAGCCAAGAAAACAAGGGAGCGAGTTCTACTGTCACACAGTATCATGTTAAAGATTATAAAGACAAAGACTGAAATAGGTTAATACCAATATAGATGAAAGGGAATAGATTAAATTTGTTCGCACAAGAATGACTTTATTCTCCAGTGGAGTTTCAAAGGCAGTAAATTAAATGGGAGGAGATTACCTATCTTTCTCCCAAACTAGGTGCCTCTGGGACTGCAGTGCAGCTTTTTATCATTAGGCCACCAGAGCTCCCACAAGGGTAAAAAGTATTAAATCTTATTGCCTGGCACAGTCCTAGTCAACTGGACAATATTGTGGAATGAAGACTGGAAAAGTAAGGGCCATGAAACTGGAAATACTTAAGTTTGAACCAATGCACAGTTGACCTTCTACTGAGTTTTGGAGGTTGTAAATCACATAGGAAATTCACCTTCATTATCCTGTAGAGACTTTGGTATATTCAAATTACCGGAGGCTCCCTACTTAGCAAAAGGCTTCTTCTGCCTCTCTTACTCAGTTGTTATGAAGGGGATCACAAAAATACCACTAGCTCAGTACTGGCATATAAATTTTTTTAAAAGTCGAAGTTGTTATCAAGTTAATTCTGGTTTGCAATGCACTCCTTTATTGGTCAAATGTTAATTTTTCAGATAGGCCTTTCCATCACACTTGAATTAATTAGTAATCAAGCACATGAATAGTTTGTAGTTTGTACCCCAGGGGGATTTCAGAATTTGGAAAGCACTTGGTAAAAATTATTACAAAGTAAAAACAAAGCATAAATAACTGCCAAAGCAATAAGAGGAAACATAAAAAGGTGAATATATAAAAAAAAGGTGAATACATAATCATACCCAAAATCTATCATTTATAAAATCTTTAGGATTAAAAACAAAATGAAAATTCTTAATATAATTCAGACACATTTTAAATGCCTAAATTAAATAACAAGCAATTCTGAATTCAAAATTTTCTCACTGAAAATGTTAACAAACAGATTTAGATGAAGGTTAGCCTTCGTTTTCACAGTGACAATAAATTTTTTTAAAAAAGACATTAAAACGGCTAAGTCACTTTTAACTTCTTTTCCCCAAGTACTAGGCTTCTTAAATTTAGCTAAAAATACAGAAAAAGACATTTCCATTATTTAGTCTATTGTTAATATATACATGTTTTCTTTAAAAGAAAAACATTATACTAGTCATAGGAAGGTTTGCAATTCCTAATTTTGGAAGATAATGTACACGAGGATACTTTTATGTATATAAAACTATCCTAACAGTTGTCAAAACATAGAATCAACCAAGTGTTCATCAACAGATAAATGATTTTAAAGAATGTGGTATACAAATATGAAAGAAAGCACTTTAATCATAAACGAAGAAAAAGTTCAGATAGATGCTACAACATGGGTGAACTCTGAAAACATCATGCGAATGGCTGATGAGAATGTTTTATTAGATGTATTTTACTATTTTAAAAATTCCCTAATTTTGTAACATAAAATCCCTCCCCAAACAGAAAACAGCAATTCAATAATCAAAATCTGGATCTAAAAGTTGTTCCATAGGTAACAAAAACTATTATAATGTTCACATTCTTGGGAATCTTGGGAACTTTTCTTCCAGAAACTTATTATAAAAAATAATTTTAAGATTAACACTTACGTGAAAATGTTCACTACGAAGGCATGCATGGTAACAAAATTAAAACTATTCAAATAACTCAAAAATAGAATGGTTTTTAGTAAATCATGAAGATCATGTAAGATGTTTGATGTTTTAGGAAGAAAAACTTTGTAAATATATGAGTATAAAGAACTCCATTTTTAGGCAAAAATGGAAATGGCTTCTTTTGCAGGTTACTGATAACCTTTCCTATTCCTAATTCATTCAACAATTATTCACCAGGCAGTCATTATTTTAGATGCCTGGGACAGATCACTGAACAAATCAGATTCTTGCCTTTAGAACATTCTTGGAAGACAAAACATAATTACATAGTGGAGCTCTGATGGCTTAGAGATAAGCAGCTGTGCTGCAATTCCAAAGGTGGTTCAAATCCAACGCCTGCTCTGCAGAAGGATGAGCAATCTCCTACTCTTCAATGTACTGCCTCTGAAAATCTGCTGGAAGGTCAACTATGAAAATTCACTATATACAAGAGGTTGTTGCTACTAGAGAACGGGGGGAGGGGATATGTTGGAAGTGGATAGGGAATGAAAAGGGTAGACTACAGGAAGACGAAGCAAAGTATTATAATGAAATGTGCAAAGAGCTGGAGTCAGAAAATAAAAAAAGGATGAACTCAAGATTTCTTAAGCTGAAGGAACTGAAGAACAAATTTTAAGGCTCAAATTGCAATACTTAAGGATGCGATAGGCAAAATTTTTAATGACCCAGGAAACATCAAAAGAAGATGGAAGGAGCAGAGTCATTCATTGTACCAAAGAAATTGGCTGACATGGAAGAATTTCACAAAACAACATATGATCAAGAGGCAATGGTTCAAGCTGCTCTGGAGGAATTGGCAAAAAGCAAGGCCCCAGGAATTGATAGCATATCAACTGACATATTTCAACAAACAGATGCATTCACCTATATGCATTCACCAGGTTATGCCAAGAAATCTAGAGGACAACTATCTGAGTGGAAGAGGTCCATATTTTTTAAAATTTATTATTAATTTCAATGAAAATTTAGACACTTTGGACTTCCATTCATTATTGCACTTCTCTCCCCTCCCAACCCTCCCCCCAGTACACTACCCTCTTGGAAAAGTAAAATTCTTTCATTGTTTTACAAGGAAGTTCATATTTAATAGAACAATATCATTAATATAATATGTAAGCAAGATCTTGCTGAAAATTATCCAAAAACTAGAACAGTACATAAGCAGAGAACTACCAGATGTGTGGGCTGGGTTTAGAAGAGGTTGTGGCACTAGGGACATTCTAGCCAATGTTAGATGGATCTTAGCTAAAAACATAACAGTACCAGAGGAATGTCTGTTCTTAATTTACTATGCAGAAGCATTTGACTGTGTGGATCACAATAAACTGCTGCTAAACTTGAGAAGAATGGGAATCCCAAAGCACTGGACCGTGCTCATGCAAAACCCATACTTGGACCAGGAGGCAGTTCTCAGAACAAACACTGCATGGTTCAAAATTAAGAAAGGGATATATTCTATCTCCATACATTTTCAATCTATATGTGGAACAGATCATCCAGAAGACTAAATTTTATGAGGAATGTGTTATCAGGATTGGAAGATGACTCAACAACCTACGTTATGGAACAATGATTTTGTAAATTATTACCTAATTTGGGAGGGACTGGAAAGCATTATGTTGAACTCAGTCCCACAAGGACAAATATTGTAGAAAACCATTATTGTAGAATGAGTATGAAGATCCAAGGGGGGAGGGTGGAAACAGAGGTATGAGGATGTATGGGGGGATTCAATCATGGAGTTATACAATTTGATGGGGGGGATGATGGAAAAAATAGAAGAATCTGAAAAATGTATTTGAATTTTGTAAATAAACTCATATAATTTTTTTTAAAAAGATATTGTGAGAAGTAAAAAATAAAACAAAACCTGTGTTATGCAGATGACATAAACCATGCCTACTGAAACTAAGGAGGACATGAGGCATTTGCAGCAGAAGGTAAAGGACTGCAGCCTTAAATATGGACTGAAGCTCAACATCAAGAGAACAGATTCTCACCACTGGGCCAAATGACAGCATCATAATAGATGGAGAAGAGATTAACAGCTTCAGCTTGCTTGGTTCCACAGTTAACACTCTTCGTACCAGCAGCCAGGAAATCAAGACGAATAGTATCAGGAAAACCTGCTGTTTGGGATCTCTCCAGAGTACTGAAGAGCAAATCTGTCAGCCTGGAAACTAAGGTGTGCCTAATCAAGGCTACAGTCTTCACAATTACTTGCTATGTATCAGAGAGCTGGACAATGAGTAAGGATGATACAAAAATCACAGATGCCTTTGAGTTGTGGTGCTGGAGTACAATATACCATGGATTGGTAAGAGAACAAAAGGGTCTGTCCTGGGGAGGGTGAAACCAGGCAAGGATTTTAAAACTCCATCTCATATACTTTGGACCATAAGAAGAGACTAGTCTTTGGAGAAGAGTGCTTGGAAAGGTGGAGGTACAGTACAAGAGAGGAAGACCCTGAATGAGATGGATTGAGTCCGTGACTGCTGGGGTAAATGCGGGTAGGTGTATCTGAGACAATGAAATCAGCTCAAGTTCAGAGCTGTTGTGCATAGGGTACCAGCACATAGCAACAACAAAACACAAACAATATGCCATTTTAGCCAAGATTTTTATTTTCTCATTTATGCTTTATCATCAATCTTGGCTACAAAGCCTAGAAGTTTTAAGGTTAATGTATATTAAAAATCTATTTTAAAATAGAAAGTTAAAAAAAAAATCTCAGACTGAGAGGTCCCACCTCCCCACGTCAAAGGAGGACACAACCCCTCCAGCATGGCTGCCTGTGCCTGACATCTCTGGGGGGCCTGGGCCGCTGGCAGAGGGGCCAGGGGTCCAAGGGAGACGGGGGTGGGGGGGTGGGGGGGGTGCGCGCGCTCAGAGAGCGCAACAGTCATCCTGGGCCAGTGAGAGCGGCTCCCTGTCTTCGCTCACGTGTGATAGACATTGAGCTAAGAGTCTTGTGCACACGTGGAATGATTTGTCTGCACCTGGGATTTAGACCGCAAATGAGCCTCTCCCACTCAGGAAGCGGCAGGTGCCCACACCATGGATGTTGGCAGACAGGCAAGTGGGCACACGGTGGCTGGGCGGCGGGGGTGATACCAAGAAGACAGGTGGAGGCCATGGAGCAGGTGGCCACTGGGGCCCTGCAGCCGGGCAGAGCGCCTGGACAGCCAGATAGAGAACCCAGATAGCCTGACAGAGTCTGGACAGCCGGGCAGAGAACCTGGACAAAAGGGGCCAGCAACTGATGGAAAGATGGCTTGTGGCAGGTTGGCGATGCTTCGTTTTTATGTTTTCTCACATTTCCCTTTAGTGAGCACCAGCTATTTAATGTTCCAAAACAAACCTACGTATTTTGTTCTATTTTTCATTATTTAGAGAAATATTCCTTTGAGTTACTCATGTGGTTCAGGTCTTCCATGTCTAAGACAGTGTTTAACCTCTGTGAAAATGTGAAGAAACTTAACATCTTTAGACAGCTACAGGGCGCTCTGCACGTGGTTCGAGGCTACTAGCTGCTCCACAGGCGAAGGATGGACAGCCTCCTCCCGATTAACTGCCTCTGAAAACCTGTCGGAGTGCCAGCTATGCTCGAGTGTCAGCTGTGGGTTGGTTTTGACTCGGTAGCAAAACAACAAATAAAGCACCAACTCAATCTATACAAAAGTTTCAAAAATAAATTACTCACTGTATATATTTCTTTAAAAAAAAACAAAACACCACCACCACAAAAGAACCTCAGACTCACAACTAAAAAAATTAGCCACTGTTGATTTATTCTTTTATACCTTTATAGTCATTTGTTTATATAATCTTAACAGGCAATGGTATTTTTTTTTTAACTGTATTTGCATTATTTTCGTTTTCTATTGGTTATCATGCAATCATTCACACACATTTTGTTTTATGATATTACAACTGAGTAATGCTGTTTATTACGATGTCCCATCAAATCCTCACTGTGTGCCTTTCCTTTCAGTCTATTGATTCATCCACTAATCTCTGCTTCCCTTGTTCTCCCCTCTTATCCCTGTCAGATTGTTTCTATCCTGGTGTAAATGTTTTCTTATCTTCCTCCCCAATCATGCATATCATTGTTAACTGCAATATACACAAAGTCCAATAGACTATTTCACACTGACAATTCCTTTACCTATTCCAATAAGGTATTCAGTATCTATTTATTCATTCATTTCAGGTACAGGTATTTTGACCTACTTTTTCTACCAAAAATTGGCACCTCTCTGGCAGTTCCAATCCGGAGGCTCCAAGGTAGAAAAATGGGCACGCTTCTCCAGTGGGATTTATACCCTCCAAAAACCTACTGATGGGTCAGCTAGGGCTGGGTTCAGGATCCAGATAAGACTTGGACTTTTTTTTTACTTTATGATATTTTGTAACAGTTTTTATGTCATTAAATCTTCATTATTAATAGGTACAATATTCAACTGTAGGCAGGTACCATTAACTTTTTTTCAATAGGGGAAATCACAAGTGTCAGCACATCCAAAGTGCAATGAATAAGCTTCACCCTGGAAAAAGCACCTTTGAGGTCATCGTACCATAATTTCTTTAACCAAGTTGATTCTAATTTTTCACCATGATGACAACTCTTGGGGAACATTCACATTTAAACTTTTCCAAAATCGCCACTTTTACTTACCTTCCAACCATTCATTATTGTTTCCATAACTGCAATAGTATTGTACCATTATATATTCAACTTTCCATTATTCTACACTGTAATTTAAAATTTTAAGTCCATCTAAATGTGCACTTATTTATTAAGCTAGGGAGCTCTGCTGGCCTAGTTAGTGGTAAGCATGTGGTTCAAATCCACATGCTTTGCGGGAGACGGATAGGCAGCATAGAAATTGGTCAGCTATGAGTACAGTATGTAACAACTGCCTATTATGAGACAGTCTGTGGTTATGGGGCTTTTCCAGTTATATTACAACAAATTATCTTAATAACTTTCTGCTTAACTTTAACCTTAACAACCTAGAGGATAAAACTCTTGAGTGCAAAATTTTAAGGATGATTTAAGATTTCAAGGGCAGGTGTTTTGTTTACAGAAATAAAAAGGAATTACCTCAATTTTTTTCCTAGTAAATAAATCCTGGCATAAATGTTTTGGCATTGCTACAAAGTATATATTTTAAACGTTTTTTTACAGTTGTAAATATATACACTAAATGTTAAAAACCACGTGTGTATCACACACTTTGTCAAGTCATTAATTTTGTAGCATCTATTACAATAAACTGCCAATTCAGTATCTTTCAAGTGTGCACTTAGTGATAAATATATTAGCATCTATAATCTTGCCAAACATTCCATCACCAGAAACAGTAAACCAAAACCAAAGGAAAGTTGATAGTTATACTACTACTAGGAATTTACTGATATGCAAGCACTGTGCCAACTCTGCTTTATTTGATCCAAAGCTCACAACTCTCATTCCTCTGGGTAAGTAAACTAATGCCTAAAGTACTTTGTCTATCAAAGGTCACACAGAAAGAATAAAGGTAATGAAGTGAACCCAGGTTATCACTAAACTACAGGTTTTTATTTCCATTTACAGTCCGTTAAACTTACTAGCCCTGTCACTTCACTGACAAATAGGTTGGTTACATCGATTTCATAGTATTATTTTAAGGCCTAAAATAAGAGAATGTATACAACACATTTAAGTGCCCACCCAGGAACACAACAGGGACTTGTTCTGCTGACAATACCTATCTCTTTAGTTATACATAAGGTGTACATTTCATTTAGCCAATTGTCAATTTTCCCCCTTTCATTGCGTCTACATTTTAGCAAAAATTACTTTCTATAACCTAGCTCTGCTTTCCTAAAATGATTCCATAATGCTAATCTTTACAATCTTTCCCTTCAATTTATTTTCCAAGCAGACATTCACTGGTAGTGACTAAATATTATGATACATCTACAACAATGCTTACCAAGTAGCAATACTTGCCCAGTACTTGTTCCTACCATCTACCTCTGTCGATGACCACTGGAGATAACAAGCAAAAATCTCTTTCAGGCAAAATATCAAAGAAATTGGAAAGACATTACAGAAATTAGACAAGTTCCTTACTATATTTGTCAAATTTAGCAAATAAGATTATATAATACAGTTAAAAAGCAATTTGCTGTAGATCTGAAATTGGTATTTAACCAAGCATCCGGAATTTATTTGGCCAATCTAAACTTCTATTTCAGATAGTAAATTGTGCCCTCGTATACTCTAACCTTGACTTCTGTTAAGAACATAAAGAAAGGTATCACTTGAAAACTTAATATTACGTTTCAAAAGTGAAAACCGATTAGAAAGAAACCCATAAAATTGTTTTAATTAGGAAAGTAATGCTATAAGCAGCAAGACAACAAAGATACACAGAAGCCTAAAAAAGAGGTGGGGTCTGAGGCTAGCAGAACTTCCTATCTAAGAGCTTTGACAAAGAAATTTATAGCGGGAGGGTGAGAGTGCACTTCGTCATTCTGAATTAATAGCCTTACAGGGATGAGGAGCGGCGCCTGACAAAGCTTTTAAAAGCACGTCAGTGCTCCTACACGGTCAGGCCGAGGGTGGCTGAAGGTCTGAGAACTTAACGACAGGGCCAAGACTCAAACATGACTCTTATAAAGGGAGGGGAGCAAAAGAGCTAGACAGGTTAAACTAGAAGGCGAGGTGGGTTATGCGCGATGAGCCACCCTCGGTGGGGTTGAGAAGGCCGCCACACGGGCGGTGGGTACAGGGCCCCAAGGAGCTTTGGAGCGACAATCCTTCCAAATCTAGCCTCGTCCTAGTCTCTTCCTTCGCCGCTTACAGCAAAAAACTCTACTCACCTCTCAAACTAGAACAAAACCTCGAAAACTCAACCTCCACCAACTGTTCTCTCCTTAGAATAACGGCGACGTTACTTAGCCTCTACCGTCCGAAGAAAAGAGCGCGGCTCCGCCGGAAACGAAACGAAGGAGCTCGGTACCGCCCAAAGGGTCCAAAGTGTCATCTTCAATTGGTTATCTTAACTGTCAATCAAGGCTTATCTACAGGATTGGCCTCGTTTTTCCGCCATTTCGTAGATTCTATTGGCTACCGAATGCCAAAGGCTTGAGTTCGTGAGAACGGCAGATGGGGGACAAAGACCGAGCCATAGTACATAATGCGCATGCACGAGTGGTCAAGCGCGTGTTCCGGAAAAAGGAAAGGGGGTGCGGGATAATAGGGCGTTGTGGCGGCGGAACTGGGGGAGGTGGTGGCAGAAAGTGGCAGGAATGGAGCTTTTCAAGGAGATGTTGTTCGGAGTGACTCTCTTGAACGACGAATCTGAACCTTGCCTTATTCTGCGCCATCTTCTCAGGCATGTTTCAGCCCACTTTTACAGTCACTGTCAGTCTATCTAGTTGAGAGTCTTCCTCTCTCTGACCCAAGAAAGAAAGAAACACCAAGGGGAGTGGGTAGAGGTGGCGGAACAGAAGAGAAAAAGGTCAGAAAATGCCCTCGTAGGCGTGCTCTGAGAATTATTGCATTGCGCCTGTGCAAGAACTAGTGTAACAATGTCGTTGTAATCAAGGTTGTAGATCTAGCCTTTTTCTATTGAAATAGAGCCCCGCCATGTTTCTTTTTCCACACATGCACCTCATTAAGACGTGCACCCATATTTAATCAGATTTCTAGTTGCAACTAGTGAAGTCTCTATGGTTATAGAAAGGAGCAGAGAAGTGGGGTTGGGGGAAAAGGCTTGACACCTTAGTGTCTGTATAATTACACAGAATTATTACTTGCTATGTACCGTCCAATGGAAACAAGCTCACGGCGGTCCCTCCAGGAGCAGTAAATCGCGTGGGAGATTGCCCACCTTTCTTTCACTGGTGGAACAAGCTGGTGGATTCGAACGGCTTGCCTTCCGATTGACAGTGCAACTCCTTACCACTTGGTCACTAGAGCTCTCTCAAAACTAACACCCTCATTTCCATGATAACCAGGGATCCCAGAAGTCCACGCATTAAGTATTGTTCCTATTATTTAAACCGCTTTGGTGGCATAATCCATAAGGAGTTAGTCGTACTGACAACAAACGCAAAAGCTACGCTGCTCTGGTTCCAGGCCACCAGCAGCTCTGGAAGAATGACAGTTTTTCTCCTTTGAGCTGTTCAGCCTTAGAAATCCAATGGAAGGTCTGCTATGCATCACCTGTGCTACGACAATGAATTTGATTTTGTTTTTTATAATTTAGAAAAATGTCATTATTACCATAAATATATAGTAGCCTGTAGTGAAGTCTGCTTCTGTATTCCGCAGGACATCCAGAAAGTAATTGTAAGGTCACCTAGAAAGGACAGAACCCAGTGCAGGCCAAGAAAGATAGTTTGTTGAGGAGAAACTGCTGGGTTGGTTCTCAAGCAGAAGACCGGACCCCACGAAGTGTTAGAGAGGGATTTTATGTTTTCTTACAAGGAACTTGGGGAAGGGGATGCTTACAGATGCTTCCTTCAAGATAGAGCAATGGGCTGGGGTCTCAGATTCCCGAGAAAAAGGGGTAGGGTAGTTTCACAGAAAAAGCACAGCAGCTGTTTGCTGTGATTGGATTCTCTCAGTAGCCATTCTGGGAGAGGAAGTTAAGGACTCTGCAGACCTGATAGTAATCACCTTTATTTTAGTAATGCCTAATCCAAACACTTATTGCTGTCAAATCAGAACCACTCAAAGCTGACTCTCCTTTGGGTTTCCAAGGCTGTAAATTGCCTGGGAGTTCATCTCTCTTCCACAGAGTGGCTGGTAGATTTGAACCAACAGAGAGGCACTTGTTATGTGCCAGTCTAGTCGCCTGCGACCCATAACAACCCTATGTACAACAGCCCTGAAGCCTGCCCTATCCTTAGGCAGTCTCCATTACCCCAGTTACTGTATCAATCCATCTCATCCAGGGTGCTCCTCTCCTATGCTGTGCCTCCATCCTTCTGAGCCCTCCAAGGACCAGTCCTGCCTGGCAACATGCCCAAAGTATGAGACGGAGCTTCAAAATCCTAGCATTCAAGGAGAAACTTGGTGGTCCATCATATGTTCAAGACTCTTCTCTAGTGCCACAACTCAAAGGCATCAATTCTTCTGTCATCCAGCTCTCTGATGCATAGCAAGTAATTGTGAAGACCATGGCCTGGATCAGGCACACCTTTTTTTCTACACTGACATTGTTTGTTCTGAGTACTCTGGAGAGGTCCCTGACAGCAGATTTTCCCAGTGTATTTTGTCTTTTGATTTCCTGACTGTTGGTGCCAAGAGTGTTTGTTGATTGTGGAACCAAGCAAGCTATAATTGCTAACAGCCTCAGTTTAGCAAGCAGAGGTTGTGTCATCTGCATAACGTAGTTTATTAATGATGATGGCACATTCCTCCTCATAAAGCCCAGCCTCCTCAGATGATCTGTTCTGCATATAGATTGAAAAGAGAGGCACTTAGCGTAATTACATATGCAGGAGGCCACCAGAGCTACTTAACCAGCCCTTAAAAAAAAGGCTACAACAGCAACAAAAAAATTGGTGGCATTGTCATTTTTTTTTCCTTTTGCTTTAGCTTCTCTACATTGAAGGACAAGTTTCATAGTCTCTTCTGGCAAAAAAAAATTTTTATCTTTTCTCTCTTTCCTGTCTTTGTAATGGCTTTTGCTTTCTTCATGGGTGATGTCCTATCATGTCACTCAGCTAGACTTTGGTCATTAGTGTTCAATGTCTCAAATATATTCTGGAGATGGTTTTTAAATTCAGGTGAGAAAACCTCAAAGTTGTGTTTTGGCTCTAGTGGTTTATTTGTATTCAGCCTCAACTTAAAGTTGTCTAAACCTTTTCAATCTATTTGTGGAACAGATCATTTGGGAGTCTAGGCTTTGTGAGGAGGAATGTGGCATCAGAATTGGAGGAACACTCATCAACAGCTGGCGGAAAATTAGAAGGACTTGAAGCTTTTGCTGAAGAAGGTCAAAGACTGCAGTCTTCGATAATGGATTGAAGCTCAACATCAAGAAGACAAAAGATTCTTACCACTGGGCCAATTAGCAGCACCACGATAGTTGGAGAAGAGATTGAGATTGTTAGCAATTTCAGCTTATTGGTTTTACAACCACCACTCTTGGCAACAGTAGTCAGAAAATCAAAAGATTAATTGCATTGGGGAAGTCTACTGTCAGGGACCTCTCCAGAATGCTAAAGAGCAACGATGTTCATCTGGAGACTAAAGTGTGCCTGTTCCAGCCCATAGTCTTTGCAATTACTTGCCATGCATCAGAGAGCTGGACAATAACTAAGGATAACAGAAGTATCGATGCCTTTGAATTGTGGTGCTGGAGAATATTATTGAATATTCCATGGACTACCAAGAGAACAAACAGATTTGTCCTCAAAAAGGGTGAAACCAAGTTACTCCTTAAAGGCAAATATTTTGAAGCTCTATCTCACATACTTTGGGCATGTTGCCAGGAAAGACCAATCCTTGGAGAACAACATCATGCTTGGAAAGATAGAGGGACAGTGCAAAAGAGGAAGACCCTGGATGAGATAGATTGATATTGTTGTTGTTGTTATGTGCCATCGAGTCACTTGCGACTCATAGCAAACCTATGTACAATAGCCCCAAACTCTGCTCTAACCTGTGCCAATTGCAAAGTCTCTGATACACCCATCCCAATTACCCCAGTCACTGAATCA